TGCAGATGACACAGCACCCAGAGGAGTGGACGAGGAGCCGTCCTTGGAGTAGCTCCCCCCCACCTGCCCTGCACCCCATCAGACACGACGACAAGCCTGCTGAGCCATCCCCTACGCAAGCCAGTATCTGCCTAACCGTCGCTAGAAAGACATCTGGAAGCTACTGGAAACTTTGAGTCCTAAGACAGAAGTGTGTTCAAACTCCCCTGCTTTAATTTACGTAGTAGGTCGAGGATGACGGACGCTGGCAGACGTGGGCTGAGTCCGGATGGGAGCCCCAATCCCAGGGCAGCCAGAGAACGTCGCTTCCTCAATCGGAAGGCCCGCAGGGCACAGCATCTATGTGTCCGGCCTGTGGCGGGAGGTGACATCATCTCAAAGCTGCCTGTTCACTTTTCCTGTGTCTCCACTCTCGAGGCACCGGGCGATTCTCACGCTCCCACCCACCAGCCTGTGCCGAGCGGAATGTCACCCAGACGGGAGCCCGCGATAATTACAATGTCAGGCTTCCCGCCGAGACGCAGATAATTAGAGGAGAACATTGCAGTGTTTCCCAACCTCTGGAGGAAATGAGAAGCGCCTTCCAAAGGAACCACCTGCCGGAGTGAAAACTCAGGTGATGGGAGACGTGCCCATCTGAGATCCTGAGACCAGACCCGGGCGGTCTGGGAGGGTCAGAGCGAAGCGAAGACCAAGGGGGGAGGGGCGAGGGGGGGGGACATTTCCCAGGCCCCACTGTGCTCCGGGCACCCGGCACGCACTTCCCAGCAGATGACCCGGACAGAGCCGCCATCGCTGTCACCTCACTGAACGCCACGCTGCAGACAGACGCTGCCCCACTGTCCTGCTGGGGAAACTGAGGCTCCCCCAGGTTCACCTAAGGCCACCTGCCAGCCGAGCATTGCGTGGCTCCAGGACCCAAGCCCCAGCCTTTCTGACTTGAAATCCTGGGTGTGTCATCTCTCCCTCCATGTCACGCTCCCTAAGGCGGTTAAAGGGTTGATGATCTCTGGTCCTGGGCCGTCCTCACTTGGCGGTGGGTGAGGGGCTGCGGGGGCTCATTTCTACACAGATCCGCAGGGCGCCCACAGTGGCAGGTCCTGTGCGTGAATGAGGCTTCTGTCCTGATACCCTCCCCCCCCTCCCCCGCCACCCTAACTCTCCTTGCTGAGCTGAGCCCATTGCCACCGGTGATCACTGCTGACACGAGCCTTTAATGTGGCAAGTTGCGAACAGAGAGAAGCACTTTCTGAATTCTCCGTAACCGGCTCTGAAAACCCCTGCGATCTGTCTGCCGACGGAAGTGAGCTCGCCAAGCAGGAGGCAGGCTGGGGGCAACATAGGGATGGAGCTCAAACCAGCTCTGCCCGCCTGAGTGACCTGGAGCTTGTCTAATTAGCCTCTCGGGGTCGAGTGTCTAAAACATCGAACAAGGACACAAACATCTACATCATAGATGTGGAGCCCTTCACGGCCGGAAGTCGAAAGGCCCAGGCAGTGGCGGCCTCCAGCATCGTCAACGTGCTTCTTACCACGAGGACGCCTGCCTGTGAGTGGGTCTCTGGCCGCGGAGAGGACGCCTCCAGTTTCTGGGAGCGAAGCCCGGGGAGTAGACGGTTTTCCCGGGAAAGGCCTGTGTGTAATAAAACTTCCTACCCGATCCTCGTCCCGGGAAAATGAGTCGATCAGTTCTCTCGGGCCACTGGCTCCTCCCTGCGGAGTCTGAGAGCTGCCCCTGCTAAGCTGCCCGGCGCCACACGGGGACCAGGCCGGGGGAAGAGGACAGCCAGGCTCACGCCACCACCAACCCAGAACCCGTGAGGGCTGTGGTCCGGCCAGGCTCACGCCACCACCAACCCAGAACCCGTGAGGGCTGCGGTCTGTGTCAAAGGGGACTGCAGATGGGACTGTCCTGGCCCACCTGGGGGTGGGGTGAGGACCCTGGAGGTGTCGTCGAGGACTCAGTGATTAACGTCGAGGACTCAGTGATTAACGTCATTAAATAGACGAGATAAATAATGTACTGACTGCATGACTGTTCACATATCACCCAATGCCGGGCTGAAGGGGCCCCAGGGATCACTGAACACGCCCTCCCCTCATTCTCCAAGGGGGCCGTGTTTGGATGAGATTTCCTCCCGCATCCCTTTAAGCTCTACATGTAACTTCCTCACGTACAAAGCAATGGCAGTGCCCTGTGGGGCCCATAAGCTCCTCGTGAAAAGAGATGAGAAGGAACTCGATTGCTACTTGATGTTCAATCCCCCTCAGATACAGAAAGGGAGCCACAGTCGTTGGCGGGCGGTTTTGGGGTGTTCACCGGCCCCCTGGGGGCTATCCGTCCACAGCTCTAGAGCAGGAAAGAACCCCCCTTTAGAGAAACAGGTGTGAGGGGTGCAGGCAGTTCACTTGCTTCAGGAAGAAATGGTCGTGACTGCTGGAGGCCGGGGCTGCGAGACCCCCTGCACACGGAGGGGTGCCCACGCTCCGAGTGTGGCAGTGCCCCTCTCCTCCCCACCCCGCGCCCCTCTCGCGCAGGGGCTGGGCGCGCACGTCGTTTGGAAAATGATACCCCGAGGAAAGGACGTGCCTTGGTGACAGTGCCCCGGACTGAACACACTGTCTCGGAAAGTGCTTTCAGGCGGCAGATGACAGACGCAAGGGCTCTGAGCCGTCGGCGGTCCCAGCCCGAGGAGAGCAGCTCCCTTTCTGTGTCTGTGCTTCCAGTGTTGCTAAATAAAACAGGTTGTTTTTGGAAACACAACACCAATACATTGTTGTTGTTTTTTTTTCCAATTAAAATAAATCCAAAGACACAAAACCAATTCCTCCGAAATGCTAAAAAAGGAAGGATTGGCAAGGACATTTCAGAAAGGTGTCACATGTGAGACAAACGGCAAAGCAGACGGCACTGACTTCGGTATTCTACGACCATGAAGTGGAGGAGACGTCGCGTGGTTATGAAAGGCTCATTCGAGGGAATCGGGACAGTTAGGCAGTCGGGCTCCAGAGGACTTGGAACAAACACATAAAGAGAAGAACTCACGGACGGAAAAAGGAGTGACATTGTTCGGAGCGACTGGAACGGGGAGTTTTCTCATACAGGGACCCATCGAGAAGAAGTAACCCCACAAATATAGTCAAGAAACATCTGCACACCCCTCAAAAGAGGATCCGCACCCCGACTGCCCGGCCCCCTTCCCAGCCAGGCAGCTGAGCCGGCAGCAGTGCTGACCTTCGGCAGTGCCTGCCCTGCGGGCGGGCCGGTCCTCACCTGGGATGTTGTGGATGGTGATGGCCAAGATGAGCAGCGTGATCCTCCTCCAGCTGCTGCCGCTGGGCGGGGCCAAGGTCCCCGGAGAGCAGACGCAGGGATGGCGGGGCCCTCGGGCTGGTCGGGGGCCGCTGCCCTCTTCCTCTGGTACGCCTCGCCATTCTCACTCTTGTCTGCAGAAAGAGAGACGGGAAGAGAGAGGACTGTGAACAGGAGGAACGACTTCGGACGTGGGCAAGCGGCAGCAGGAGGAGGCTTTCAGATGGGGACAGGAGCTGCTTCCTAACTTGCTGATGGACCGTGCGTGCTCCTGAGTGTTCCTTCATGTCCTCATCCCTTCTCTCCTCACGCCTCATCCACTCATACATCCTGCAAACACTCACTGCGTGGGCATTCGGCACCCAGTGGAAAGGCACTAAAAAGGGGAAAGAAGATGAAAACAGGGTACGCTGGCCATGCCCACTTTAGGGAAGCAACGCTGAGCAGGGGCGAGGATGGAGCAGGGGCGAGAACAGAGCAGGGGCGAGAACAGAGCAGGGGCGAGGACGGAGCGGGGGCGAGGACGGAGCAGGGGCGAGGATGGAGCAGGGGCGAGAAGTGCAGATTCTGGAACCAGACTGCAGCCCGCAAGCTGCTAAGCCTCTTTGTGCCTCCATTTCCTGATTCACGAGGCGGAATAACAGTACCTGCTGCTTCGGGCTTTTGCGAGGATCAACAGAGAGGCTGCATGAAAACCCCGAGACAGTCCTAAGCACTGTGTGTGGGGATGTGGTGGCTGTCACACGCCCTCTCGCCCACAGCCCACAGAGCTCTACCCATGACTCTCCTGGGGACCCATTCAAGTGTGTGTGTGTGTGTGTGTGTGTGTGTACGAGCATCCGAGTGCCACTCGGTCCCAGCTTTCCTGCCTCAGATGTCAGGCAGCCCCAGTGCATGTTTGCACGTGGGTGGGTATCTGTGCACACCTGGGGGGGTGCTGTTGTACATTCTGACAACATCTAACGACTCAGGCTGTAGAGGCTGGATGGGAAATTGAACTATGTATCTGGGATTTTAAAAAATATATTTTTATTGATTACAGAGAGGAAGGGAGAGGGAGAAAGAGAAACATCAACGATAAGAGAGAATCATTGAGCAGCTGCCTCCTGCTCGCTCCCTACTGGGGATCGAGCACAGAACCCGGGCATGTGCCCTGACTGGGGATGGAACCGTGACCTCCTGGTTCATAGGTCAACGTTCAACCACTGAGCCACCCCGGCTGGGCTAAGTATCTGGGATGTTGAGCCCATGAACACTAACGACACGAGCAGAGCAGACCAGAGTACAGGCAGGAAGCAGGCCACCCCCATGCCCCGGGGACTAGCCAGCGGACACCACTCACTCCCTGGGCCTCCTTAGAGCGTGGGAGGTGACAAGGGAGGAAAAAACAACCCCAAAATCCAAACTCTTCCCTTTAGAATTTTATAACTTAAGGGATGAGAGGCAGGGAAGACATGAGTAAATTCCTTAAAATCCAAGGGGCAGGTCTGCGTCTCTAACGAGCACTGAAGTCTGTGCTTATTGCTGTGAGTGACACAGAGGACCGGACGCTGGTTCTCCTGCAATAACACTCGAGAGCCACAGGGCGTGACAGCGCCAGCAAATGCCAGCACCGAGTGTGGGTCTCCCGGGACCGTCGCGAAGCATAGAGTCGTGAGCCCGGGAAAGACGCCTGGCCCTGGGGTCCCAGGTGGGGGCCTGATGTCGGCGCCTCCTCCAGTAAATAAGCCGCCACTAATGAGTCCGCGAGGAGGGAAATCCGCCCACATCAATCAGGAGCGCGTGGAGGGCCCTGACAATGAATCTTCCTGCCTCTCCCGGTTAAGGGTTAAGGCTCGTTAAGCCGTCACGTGCCACCAAGCAAAATAAATGCCGCGCCGTGGGCAGAGGAGGACCGCTTCAGGGGCGAAGCCACGCCTGGTGGGGGATAGGAGCGGGACGCAGTGACAAGACCCAGGAGACTTCTTGAAAGAGGAGAGGTGTTGACACCTCTGAAGCAGGACTGGGCAAAGAGGAAGGGCACTTAGGGATGGAACAGCTGAGGCCAAGTTCAGAGACGGAAAACATCAATGAGCCTGGCTGGCAGGCGATGCTGAGGAGTTATTTTAATAACCTGAGTCCTTACAAAAGCCCTATGAAAAGATCACCCCTTTCACAAATGAGCAGAGAGGGGGAGTGACTGTCCCAGCTCACACAGCCCCCCTCCCTACTCCCCGTTGGGCTCTGGGGTCAAGCCAAGGTCCTCTGCCTCCTGGGGACTCCTCTTACCCAAGCCCCTTGGTTGACTGGTGGGGAGGGGGGAGTTGATCTCCGTTGCTTGACAGAAAGGGCAGTAGGAGCAGTCACTGCAGTGATATCTAGGGACCTGAAATCCCAGATGTTCAGTTCAAGACGTGGAGGTGGCAGAGAGGGTCCATGAGCTGGTGTTGAGTGACGTCTGAGCCGGAAACGGCTCAGTGGAAATCTCGTGTCTACGATCGTTCCCACTCAGACCAACCGAAAGCGGTGTTTCTTAACGCATCCGACCCACTGGTTTTAAGTGTAAGAGGAAATACTGATTAAAGACGAGGACTCAGAGCCAGGCCCACAGGCCTTCCCGGAGGAAGGAAAGGAACCACGTCAGGTGGATCATCATCAAAGAGCCTCTCTTAAAATCTGAAGGCCAGCACCTCAGAATCCACACAAAGAGGGGACCCCCTGGTGGGCTCCCCTGTGTCCTCCCACTGCACCTTTGACAGAGGGGCCCCATGCTGCTGCGTGGGAGAAGGAGGACCCCAGCGGGACAGACGGACCAGTCCAAGGCCCACTCCTCCATGGGGCCTGATGGGACACAGGACTTCCTGGTTTCCCCTCCCCCACACCAGGGGCACGATCCTTGTCCCAACACGTTGTATCACAGAGCAAAGCAGACAGGGGTCCGCGGGCACAAGCCAGGGGACCACAAGGGGGAGCCCGGCTGCCCGGGGAGCCCCTCCCCTCAGGGGTCCACTCCCTCCCTCCCCCTGAGTGAAGAGTCCTGCCTCCTCCAGATCAGGGGGCCCAAACCTGGATCAGCAACTGCTTTTGGAAGCTGCAATCTTCTCTCCAGCAAAAAAAAAATATATATATATATTGACAGATGATTTTAAAATGATTCTTTAACCCTTACAGATTCAAGGCGCTCAGATGAGAACATCTCGCTGGGTAAATGCCAGGTTAACCTTTGTTTTCAGAGCCCTGGGCCCAGTGCCACCAGGAACACAGGAAGCTTGCTGTCCGAGTGATGGGGCTCAATGCTGGGCGCTCAGGCCCCCGAGCGCTAATGAACAGATCGCCAGCCACGAGGGCCTTAAACACATCCCCAGACGTCACTGGACATGGTCTGGTTGAATTAGCACAAATGGGAAAATGCTTGGCTGCTTCGTGCAGAAAATCTTAAATCCCCGGAAAAATACCTTCCCTGAAAGCTAAACCCATTACGAAACATAAATGAAGGGTGTGTACATTCCCGATGGGTGTACTGCGTAAGCACAAACAAAATCAAAAGGCCGACCAGAAGCAGGAGCCAGGAGGGGCCATGGACTAACGTTTTCCCTCTTTTCTTGTTTTCCAGAGCATCACGGTAATTGGGGGAAGAAAGTCAATTATGCATGAGTGTGACAAGGCTTGCTAAGAATTGGGCTCTGTTTCCCTAACCATTCATGGGATTAGCATGACTCCTTTATGTAATTAATGCTGAACTTGAACATGAAATAATCACTTAACATTGGCCAGCATCAACACTAACAGAGAAGCCACGGTCCATGGAAGCCCTTCTTGACAGTCACATGGGAATTTAAGAGCGAGCCAGGGGGTCCTCCCTGACTTGGCAGAGGGCCCCTCTGCCCCGAGACATCAAAACTAAAGCCTTGGATGTCTCTAAACCTATCCGCAACTCTCCCACTGTTTCCTTTCTGCAAAGCTACAAATACAATCACATTAAAGACCACTGCCCACAGACAGAAGGTGTCCAGTAGCCCTAACATGACAGCTGTCATTTGTCCCTCATCTGTGTCTAGTTTTTGTACACTGATGCTTTGCATATTGGCAGGGAGTACAAATGGTGACGAGAACAGATGCTGGATCACACTGGCTGCGGTGGGATCATGGCTCTGCCAACCATGGGATCATGGCTCTGCCAACCATGGGAATCATAACTCTGTCAACCATGGGATCATGGCTCTATCAACCACAGGATCATGGCTCTGCCAACTATGGGATCATGGCTCTGTCAACCACGGTGGGAATCATAACTCTGTCAACCACAGGATCATGGCTCTGCCAATCATGGGGTCATGGCTCTGTTAACCATGGATGGGATCATAGCTCTGTCAACCACGGGATCATGGCTCTGCCAACCATGGGATCATGGCTCTGCCAACCATGGGAATCATAACTCTGTCAACCATGGGAATCATAACTCTGTCAACCACAGGATCATGGCTCTGCCAATCATGGGGTCATGGCTCTGTTAACCATGGATGGGATCATGGCTCTGTCAACCTTGGGACAGTGGCTCTGCCAACCACAGGATCATGGCTCTGTCAACCTTGGGACAGTGGCTCTGTCACTCATTACTCTGTGCCTCAGTGCCACTGTGGTAAAGTGGGTTTAATAATCATATCTCCTTAGTAAGGTTGTTTTGAGAACTAAAGTCTACGTAGAGCTCTCGCACAGTGCCTGGCACAGGAAAACCACAATCAATGCTAGCTATTCTATTACTATTGATCCTATGCTTTAATATACATTTTCACATTCCACTTGTTTCACTTGAAATTTCAGAAATATTTTCTGGATTTCTGAGTCTCGGCGCCTCTAGTTTTTAATGGCGCGAGGGCATTCTGCTTATTTCTAAGCCTGTCCTTTGCGAAACCATTTCCTCTTTATTCATGTTTGAAGGGTCACATTTTTCCAGAGGCTAAAAGGTGCAGTGCCTCGATCTTGCCACACGGGGGCAAACTCCTTCGGCTCCCTCCCACCCAGAATGGGCACCCACCCGGCAGAGTTCCTGCCTTGACTTCATGCACGAAATCTTCGTTGTATGGCTCCATGGCTCATGTGCCACTGTTGCATGTACAAAGGGGCTGAGCTACCCCGGGAAACAGCTGAGCCTGTG